TGTAGTTGCAAACAACAGTACTACATGTTTTCTAGTAGGTTTGTCATTGGCTATGGTTTGTATTTCTTATCATTGTGTTGAATTGATTGTGCTACTGATGCATATCTTGCTCTAGTTATTGGTTAATGTGTCCTTTGGGATGGTGTTATGGTTGCTGGATTTTTTATTTTTTGTGCTGTGAATTGTGGGGAGGGGTTGCAACCTTTTTTTTCTGTATGGGGTTGTCAAGGAATTATTTTTTTATAAGGTCGAGCGCGAGAATGTAAAATGAAAGTTTGATGTGTTTTTTTTTCTTAATGCATGTGTATGAAGGCAAGGGCTTGGGTTATGTTTTTGAAGGGGATGGGTGATATTGAGGGATATTGGGGAACTATACTTGTTTGTGTAGTGGAGTATACAGTCCAATATCATAAGGTTTTTTTTAAAATTTATTGGTGATGTATTGGAAGGAGGGAAAAAATTCTTTCAATCAATGGTCATTAAAGAAGTTGCATAATTTTAAAAAAAAAATAGTTATTAGTATATTTTTGAAAGAAAAAAGAGAAGAGTTACGTCTCATAGTATCAAATGGAAGCTACCATGAGAATACTCCTTTAAGTCTTCATGAGAAAATACATATTTTTTTATATTTACATTATTCAAGACAAGGAAAAAATTATACTTTAACAACACTTGTTAAACAAGTTGAATGAAATTGGTAAATGAAAGATTTATTAGGTTGAGCTATTTTTCAAAGGAACGTGGCTTTCATTCTATTTGTAGTGGAATCCAATATTGCACCAGCTATCCTCAAGGTCCGCTCCTGCCTTTGAATATTGGATTTATTATTACATGTAAAGAGCTTTCAAACAAGAACTAGTTACCAACCCGTGCTATGCCGTTGGAGTTATTAATTGACATTAGTAACATCATTTTGTTTGAAAATCATTTTGAATAGTTAAATAATTTGATAATATATTTTAAGGTAAAATATTATCACACTTTTAAGTTTTAATTGAAATTTTAGATGAATCTATTAATTTTCGAAATAAATACTTCGTTTCAAAAAAAAAATCTTTTGGTAAACACATAGATATAGTTATTAATCAAATGTTAGTGTTACTATTAATTTGATGATATAATAATATTGAAATGATTTTTTAATAATTTTAATAAATACTATTATATAATTTTTATTTTTTTTAATTAATTTATATATATATATATATATACATAGAGAGAGAGATAGAGTTGGGCTTATACTAATGTTATAACTTTGAATCATTACACACTTTTAACATCTTTTTACATAAATATACTATATTTTACTCTTTTCAAATATGATGCTTTGTATATAGGGACAGACGCATATTTCAATTAATTGTAAATGTCTGATTTTTTGGGTTGACAGAAAAGAGTGTACAGAGATTTATGTACGGACAAATCAGAAAAATGTAGATTTGTTTTCGGTATCCAGAGTTTGGAGATTGGAGCTTTTCTCACAGTTGCTTGCCCAAGCACATGTGAGGCTGCCCCACCACCGTTGTCGTTTGCTTATACACCACATGTGACTCACTCACTCCAATTCATTACACCCCCAATTATTCCAATTCCCAAACATATGAAAACTAATCATACAAAATTAAACCCTTTTTATCTCTCTTTAACAAATATTTACTATGCAAGAAGAAAATATATCTAAGCCATGATTAGGTTGGTCCCCCCAATAATCATTCATTCTATCTTGTGCATAATCCTAGATTATCCTATACTCTCTAGCCTTCACAAATTTTTTCTCTTTGGAAGGATTGTCATGTGACCTCCTTCGAGCTAATAAATAAATAACCATATGTTTAATTTCTTCGAAGCTTTAACCATGACATGAAGCCTTTAACTCAAATTGCAATTGGTTTTGTCACTTCATGTGAGTCGTTTTTATTGAGAGTTGCTTTGAAACAGTGATGGTATTAAGAGGAGGTTGGTCCATTATTTAGTCCTATGTGGGTATACATGTGCCTACAAAGATATCAACTTCATCACTGATTGATCAACAAGTAGGATATGCACCTATTGTCATCATCCACAACCATGAATTTTTTTTATTTTTTTAAAGTTTATTTGATCACATACATACCTATATATTGCATTATCGATCTAGAGCCACTATGACTTATATGTTCATAAATGCTTAATTTCCTTTTTATTATTTTAAAGAAAAGAAGAGTTCGAGAGGGAATGGTTCAAGTCTGGTAAGGTGATTTTGTCCCATGTAACATGCATGCTTGGTCATCTACTTAGTGAGCATTAAAGTTATACCTAATATGAATAAACATATATATAAATCCCAATGCAAAAAGGCTTTTGAATTACTCCTAGTATAATGGGTGGTTAGACTTCAAAGCAGCACATGATTATTGAGTGGGGGATGAAGGATTGGAAAGGAGCTTTGGGAATTAATTAATAGAGTTGATTGCATGATTACTGTCATGCAAATAGATGGAAAAGTCTACTAGAGTCATTGCTATGAGTGTTGTGGTATGCTCTTCTCCATTTTACATGAGCAAGAGAAAATTGGTTAAATTGGTGAAAAAGACATGGGTAGGGGTGGCCAGCCCTTTGGTAAAAAGGGGACAAAAGTTGTTGCCAATGTGACAAAAAAGGGCCAGACTTTTTGGGTGATTGAAAGAGACCAAATCATCCTCAATAATCCCATCTTTTTGTTTACTTTTAAGATTTTCATAGGTGATGCTTATGATCACCACCCTTGAATTTGCTGCTTCCTCCTTTCTAACCATTTTTGAGGAAAAAGAGAGAAAGCCAGAGCTAACATTAAACTTGGGATTGGAAAACCAAACCAAAATTATCGGCATCAAATGTTTTTCTCTTCCTCACATGCTATCAGCCACCTTATTTATTATCCCCAAGGATATAGGCTAGGGTTTGTTGTTGAGATGAGAAGTCATTACTCATTATACTATACTCTTCATTCTTAAGGGTCTTTAATAAATTATTGAAAATTTTAAACCCGTTGGGAATTAAAATTTTTGATAAATTAAAATTTTACTCTCTTAGCATTCCTTCTAGGGGCTTTTCTCCCTAAACAATGTGCATTAAACTTTTATGTTCAATTTTTGGGTGTTTTATTAATTTAAAACCAAATTGGGTACTTACTCAAATGGGGCAATCTACTTAGAAATCTATTAAACCCAGCCCAAGTCATTTGCCCCATAATCCTACCATGTTGTCCTTTGGTAGTTACCCAAATTCCCCTTTGTATTTTTTTCCATAAGCCAAACCCAGGTAAGTCGCCTTTGCTCTCTTTTAAATCCAGAATTTCCCTCTCCCAAGCCTCAACCGGGCCTGGTAATTGGAAGACAATTGAACTTGAGTTTAATGGATGATTTCATGATTTAGGATGGTCCCATTTTTCTTCTTGAATCTGGGTTCCTGGCACAGGATGTTAAAGGAGAGGAGAACCTTCACATTTGTAATTGCTGTATCTGGTGGCTAGATTAAATGGTACCTGAAACTATTGGCTCGCTTTTGCACCACTGCTCCAAAACCAAGGCATTTCGCAGCGGTCTTTCACTTCATGCTGCCGTCTTCAAGGCTGGTATGCAGGCAGATGTCATTGTCTCCAACCATGTCCTCAACATGTATGCTAAATGTGGCAAGACTAGATTTGCTCGTCAGGTATTTGATGAAATGTCTGAAAAAAACCTTGTTTCTTGGTCTGCCATGATCTCGGGTTATGAACAGTCTGGGGAGCCCTCATCAACACTTGAGTTACTTTCCCAAATGCGCCTTGTACCCAATGAGTACATATTTGCCAGTGCGATTAGTGCTTGTGCCAACCTTTTGTTGTTAGTGGAAGGACGACAAATTCATGCTCAATCATTGAAGTACGGATACGCGTCTGTCTCATTTGTTTCTAACTCCCTTATCTCAATGTACATGAAATGTGGTCATTCTAGTGAGGCATTGTCAGCGCATTCTGGGGCATCAGAACCAAACGCTGTATCTTATAATGCTCTGATTACTGGATTCGTAGAAAACCAGCAGCCTGAAAATGGTTTTGAAATTTTTAAACATATGCATCAACAAGGCCATATGCCAGATCGCTTTACTTTTGTGGGATTACTAGGGAGTTGTGCTGATTTAGATGCTTTATATAGAGGAATGGTATTGCATTGCCAGACAATCAAACTTGGACTTGACTCCACTGCTTTTATAGGTAACGTGATCATGACAATGTACTCAAAGTTTACTTCCATACAAGAGGTAGAGAAGGTCTTTGAGTTCATCAAGGAAAAGGATGGCATTTCTTGGAACACTTTTATAGCTGCTTGTTCTCATTGTGAACATCATGAAAAGAGTTTGAGAGCTTTCCGAGAGATGTTTAATGAATATCATACAAGACCAGATGATTTCACTTTTGCCAGTGTCCTCTCTGCATGTGCTGCGCTTGCTTCAATACTTTACGGCAAGCAGATTCATGCTTATCTGATAAGAACAAGACTGACCCCAGATGTTGGTGTTGGTAATGCGCTCACAAACATGTATGCTAAATGTGGTTCCATTGCATATGCATACCACATATTCAACAGGATGTCTCATCACAATCTTGTCTCATGGAACACCATCATTGCTGCATTTGGAAATCATGGGCTTGGAAGCAGAGCCCTCGAACTCTTTGAGCAGATGAGAGCCATTGGATTAGAGCCAGATTCTGTGACATTTGTTGGACTTCTGATGGCTTGCAATCATGCTGGTTTGGTAGATAAAGGCCTTCATCTTTTTAATTCTATGCAAGAAACCCACGGTATTGCCCCTGATATAGAGCATTTTTCTTGTCTTATCGATTTGTTGGGACGAGCTGGGAGATTAGATGAGGCAGAGGATTACATGAAGAAGTATCCTTTTGGACAAGATCCAGTTGCCTTAGGGAGCCTGCTGTCTGCGTGCAGACTGCATGGAGATGTAGTCATGGGGGAACGTTTAGGTAGACAGCTTCTGAAACTTCAACCAGTGAGCACTTCACCTTATGTATTATTGTCAAACTTGTATGCGTCAGATGAGATGTGGGATTGTGTTGCGGAGGCGAGGAAGATGTTGAAGGGAAGTGGACTGAAGAAGGAAGCTGGGTACAGCCTGGTTCAAGTGAAGGGAAATTTTGTAAAATTTACAATAGGGGATTTTTCTCATGCAAGGATTGATGAGATGATGGACGCACTCAAAACTTTAGCTTGTGAAGCAGGCGCCATTTCTTTGGATCTTACATCCTAGTCTTTTTCATTATTTTTATTCACTTTAAATATCTATTTAATTTATAGACACAATCAATATAATTGGAATATGACTCAAATTATTAATAAAATAACTTGAGTAATTTAACATTCAAGATTACTAAAACCCAAAATACTTGAAGCTGTAGTGATTTGAATTCGTAATAAAACTAATTTAAATGCAAAGTGATCTCAAAACAAAATGGCACAATTACAAAGTTGACACTTGATTGGCTCAATAACCACCTCTACTAAATACCTTGCCCTAGTTTGCTCTTTGATGCAAAATAAAGAAATAAAAGCAGGAAAATTAGGGTTCCATTTTCGAACCAAGCAAAAGCTAACAGCAACCCTATCATTTGGCTTGCATCATATTTAAGTATAAACCTCAGCAGTCAGCTCCATTATCAAAAACACAAAGCTCAGAAAAGAACCCAGACGGACACACAGGTGGACAAAAAAATCAAAGATATTGCACACAACAAGCAAGGATACAATTGAAGAGCAGAAAAAGGAATCAAGAACAAAACTATAACACTAGAAATACAGGATGCAACAACTGGATAATACTTACAAAAAATAAGAAAAGTCGTGTGAGACCAAGTAAAGTGAGCAGACTATGATCCACAAGTCACACGAAACCAGAGTGAAACAGCTCATAAGCATGCTAGATGCACCTTCCATCAGTTTTGAAGGGACGGTTTCTCTTAAGCCTTTTCTTCATCATCTCAGCCCATCTCGTAAAGGTATTAGCAGCTTCAAACTTACCAGAGAACTTCATCTTTTGAGCCAAATCCTCAAGAATGTCAGGTTTCCCAGCTCTAGAGAAATCAGCTCCAAACTTGTTGTAATCAAGATGAGGAGCTTTCATTCCTTTCTCCATCATTTCTTCTAAAAATTTACAAGCCTCTCCTGATCTACCTAGACTGATCAGTCCTCCAATGAAAATAACATATGCATTATCATCAGGGCAAATCCCCTTTTCATTCATCTCATCCCAAATTGCACGACCCATGTCATAGTTTCTGGTCTGGAAGAACGATTTCATGATCATGTTGAAAGTGTGAATTGTTGGTTGAATTCCACTCTGAATCATCTTCTTGTATACCCTCATTGCATCCTCCAGCATTCGTTGCCTTGTCAACAATTTAATCAGGGCATTGTAGGTTTGGCCATCAGGTGGACAGCCCTTTTCTTGCATCTCCTTTAACAATCTGTAAACCACATCCATCCTTTTCTGATTTCCAAAACCAGTGATCAAACACGTGTAAACTGCTGCATCTGGCTGACATCCAGAATCAAGCAGCTCATCAAAATATCCAACTGCTTCATTCATCTTGGCTTGCTTGCAAAGCTCCCGAATGATAATCGTGTAGCTCCGAACATTAGGCAAAGGCCCCTTAGCCTTCATGACCTCAAACAACTTCACTGCATCACATCTCTTCCTACTCCTAAACAGCCCTTCAATCATAACATTATGTGCGACAATATCAGGCTTAAATCCCTTATCAATCATCTCATTCCACACCCTCCCTGCTTCCATCAAATTCCTCACCCTGCACCAGCCATTAAGCAATATCGTATATGTACTTAAATTGGGTGTAAACCTGTCTCTCAATTTCTCAAAAAGGGCTTGCGCTTCTTTTGCAAGCTTAACCCTCACAAGACTATCAAGCAAGAAATTAATAGTATCAACACCAGCTTTATATTTATACTTCTTCATTAACTCAAAGATCCCAATGGCTTTCTTCCTCTCCTTGGCGGCCGCAAAAGCTTTCATAGCAATAATAAAAGTCTCCATTGTCACAACACCTTTGGCACCCATCTCTTCGAGCATCGCTACCATGGTCTCAAATTGCCTATTCTTCGCTAAAACATTCATCATTTTGTTATAAGTCATGGAATCATGTTCAAACCCTGGCTTTTGTCCGGCCCAACAGAAAAACCTAAAGGCCGGTTTTCTGGCGTGCCGGAACCGTTCGAGCACATTCATGACCAAATCATGAGTAGGGTTAATCCCACATTCATCTAAAACGGCCTCCATGTTTCGATCTAAGCCAAATAAGTCATCGATCACCTTGCATATTCTCTCAACTTCCTTTGGGTCCACTCTAGACTTAAAGCTGTCACCAGAACTATCAGATTCATGGTCGGTTCCAGAATCTGTATCACAGTCAGTGAAGCTAGAGAAATTCCTATGATTGAAATCTAAAACATTGGGGGTCAAAGAAATGGAATTGGCTAGCAGTTTTTCTTGTAAATAATGGAGCGAAGAGGAGTGTGGCAAAAGAAATGGAATTTGACAATTAACACGACGGAGACTATAATAAGGAGAAGAAGGAAGCAAACTAAACAAGGGCAGAGAGCTACCACAAGGAAAGAACACTTGCTCTCCTCCACGTCGTCGTTTTTCTCGTAGTCTTGGTCTCTGATCGAGAAAGAGTAACTCTGAAGTTGGTTCGCCATGGAAAAACCTGTAACAAAGCTGAGAGTTGCCGTGTCGTCGAATGAAGCTCGTGACCTTGGTGGAAGTCCTCAGCCAAAGAGACATTTAACCGCCATTAAAGGGGGAGGGAAAGTGGAAAATGAGAAGTAACAGTGGACGAGTGCGCATGGATAAGTTCCTGGGGTTGCTCATTCTTGGGCTTGGCTGAGGATCCACCAGGGGCAAGGAGCCCATTTCACTGCGTTGAAAATTTGGTTTGATAGGAGTCGGGTACAGCATTCGGGAAAGGAGGGAGAAGAACAAGTGGGCGGTTATTAATTGGAATTTTGGTTTTTTTTTTTCATTCTTTTTAAAAGAGAAAAGGGATTCAATTTTTTTTTTAAAGATTATATATCAATTAATGAGTTAAATATTTAAATATTTAATTAAAATTTTGATCGATAGATTTAGTTTTAAAAGAAATAATGTAGGTGTGTTCTATTCAATTATGGGCTTTGCATATTTCATCTTGGTCAAATGTGATTAAGCTTAACTTAATACATATTTTATTATGGTTGGGATTCTGTTACTGCATGTTTAGTTCGAAAAGTGAAATTAAAGAAAAATAAAATGATTATTTTTGAAAAGTAAAATAGAATATGAATAGTTATTAAGTAATTTAATTTATAAAATGAAAATTGTTATTATGTCATTATTCTAATGTTTTGACATTTATGACTTTGATACAAAGTAAATAAGGAAGTTTTTGTTGTGCTTTTCTGATTTTTACTTATATAAAAAATTGATGGTGTTTGAAATAGAAATTGAACAACTACAATTTTATCTCCTTCGAGAGACGAATGGACTTGCAAATTCAATTGCACATTGTGATGGAAAACAATCATAATCTTCCAAAAGGGTATTACTTGTTTTTGCTATTAAAAAAAAAACAAATTACCTTAAGTCTTTAAAATTTCACTCTAATTCATTTCAAGTTCATTAATATTAAAAATAAACACCTCATGTACTTCACAACGTATGCAAGTCTTACTGTTACTTCATTGTTTGAGTTTTTGTTAACTTAATGGCACAACGTAAATTTCCATTTTACCCTTTGTGTATCAGAAAAATAACAAAATTATACTCCGCTTATGTAGATAAAAGTTGGGTTGTGTATAATGGTAACAAAATGTCAGAGTAAAATTCAAGGTCCGTTTGATAATTAAAAAAATAAATTATGGAAGTTAAATCTTTTTAGGTAAAATATTTTACTAAAAAATTAATTTTTTTTATTAAAATATTTTTTATTATTTGGATCAGTTTATAAAAACTATTTATCAATATTACCTATTTTTCTTCATTTTAACATATTTTTTGACAAAAATATTTGAAAACATTATAATCTGATAAACTAATAC